GTCAGGATGGACAGGTGGACCGAGTCAAATCGGACTCGCCGAGTTGTTCTTGAGACTCGGCGAGTTGAGTCGTGGTGGCTCCACAACTCGTGCCAGGTGGAGCTCATCGAGTTGGGGAAAATACTCGACGTGTCAAGAAAGGATTCCAGGGAAATTGGAGTATGCGCTCAGACTCGCCGAGTCGCTATAGTGCACTCGCCGAGTCCGGTCAAGTTGACCGTTGACTGTTGACCTAGATTGTCTTGTTATAGTGTGGTCAACCCTAGTTGGGAAAGTGTTAATTAGAGATGTATTGTGCTATAGGGGGACTTCAGCTCGGCGGATCGAGTGTTTAGCAATTTCAGGGTTACGGTTTACCGAGACACGCGAGGTGAGTCTTCTCACTATACTTTACCTTGAGTAGGTAACCAGAGCTATGTGATAGAGTATTTGTGTGCTATATATATGTTATATGTTGTACTGCATGATTTCTATGTAATTTATGTGGTGCATGATTATCAGAGTTGGAACCTGAGGGTTCACAGAGTTTGGGTGCACGGACCCACAGAGTTATAGCCTAGAGTGGCTAATATGTGCTATATGTGGTATTTTGGGAAACTCATTAAGCCTTGTGCTTACAGTGTTGATGTTATTTGTTTCAGGTACTAGTGACGACCGCGGGAAGGCGCCGGCTTGATCCGTACACACACGTTTGGAGCTTGACATTTTGATCTTGGGATTTTGTACTGTTTTGTTGAACAATTAAAATGGTTGTTTCTATGAATATTGATGGAATTATGTTTTTATAAAAATCAAAAAAAAATTTGTTGAAAAATTTGGTGTTACACCGCGATTCATGCCTAGTATGACTTGTCAAGCGTAGGGAGGGACTCAGCGTGCCAAGCGGGACAAAGTGTTAGAGAGCATGTGTGAACTCGCCGAGTCACCAGGGTTCACTCAGCGAGTAGGGTCAAAGTGTGACCGTTGACTTTTAGGGTTTAGTCAATGGAGTACTTGTGTCGAGAGGGGGGTAAAATAGCCTTTTACCCTCCTAAGGGTGCCAATGGCAGGACAAGTCTAGTTTCGAGAGTTATATTTATAAGAGTATTTACTTTATGTGAATAGGTGGAGACTAGGCAATATTTCTACCGAGTCAGAGATTTACCGAGACACCTGAGGTGAGTCTTCTCACTATACTTTACCTAGTGTGGTAACAGAGTTGTGATAGAGTATTTTAGAGTTATATGCCAGTGTGATTGCATGTTATTTATGTGCTATGATTTATTGTGATATGTGATATGTATGATTCAAAGTTAGGACCTTCGGGTCCACAGAGTTAGGACTTTCGGGTCCACAAAGTTAGGGCTAGAGGGCCCATAGAGAGTTGGGGCTGGAAGGCCCCACTGAGACACATAGACATGCGGGTCAACAGAGTTACAACCTCAAGTGGCTATTATGTGTTAGAGTGGTATTTTGGGGAACTCACTAAGCATTTATGCTTATAGTGTTATGTGTTATGTGTTTCAGGTACCAGTAATGATCGCGGGAAGGCGCCGACATGATTCGTACACACGCACACCGAAGTTTATATATATATTTTAATCTTGGGTTTTGTACTAATACAATGTTTTATTTATGATTACAAATGATATTTTATGGGTTACAAAAGTGAAAAATTGTTCAAAATTTTACGGTGTTACAAATGCAATTATGTATGGGATTATCATGACGATGATTGGCAGATGAGGTTTAGAGTCGATCAAATATGCAGGGTTTTTCAGCTAGGGGTTCTATCGTGAAGTGGAAGCGAAAGCTAATTTCGAGGACGAAATCTAATTTAAGTGAGGGAGAATTGTAACATCCTATTTCCTACCATTTTTTGATCCATAGGCCGAGTCCTTGCATAAAATATTGATTTTTGTTTGAGAAGTTTTTAGTCTAATATATTTAGATAATATTTTATAGCTCTTCAACATCTTTCCGTGGATATAAAGAACGTCGAAAATGGAGTTGGAACGAAGAGGTTACGATCGTTTGAAGTTAAGACGATTTTTGGGTTAGCCGCATACGCCCTGCGCACGCGATCAGTGCCTAAACCCTATTTTTATGGTTTGAGCCCTATTTAAGCTCCTTAACTTCCCCAAACCCATTCTATTCTCAGCCTCCACCTCTCCAACACCCTATTTTGAAACCATAACCCTAGATTGAGCCTTGTGAGCAAAAAAAAAAATATGTTTTTAAGTGCTCTGGAATGTCTTGGTGCACATTTGAGAAGAAGGAACTAATTGAAGAAATGTTGGTTGCATTAGAGCTTGTAGGTCCAAACTTTTTTCACCTTGATATTTCTTCTATAGGTATAAAGTTTGAATCTTGATGATGAAATTGTTAGATATAGTTAGTTTTAGGTGTTATGAGCTTTTGGTCGCTTTAAGTGCATAAATATTAGATCTTGAAAGTTTGTGACCTTGTTATGGATAAAGTTGGAAATTTATCCATTTAAACATCATTTTGATTCAAATATGAAGGTTGAAGAATTGGACTTAATGGATTAAGTTGAAAAAGATGCCATTTTGGGTCCCTTTGAGACTTAAAGATTAGATCTTATTTGTTGGGACCATGGTAATGGATAAAGTTTGAAATTTATGATCTTGGTCCTTCTATCCTTTCCATACAAGATTTGTGATGTCTTATTGGGTTAAGAACTTGGGGTTTTGGACATTAAGCACTTTATAGCCATGCAAAGTCATAAAGTTTGAAACTTTGTGACTTAGGACATCATTTTGGGCTTGGATATGAGTTTTGGATGTAAGAGCTTAATGAAATAAGCTCTTAATGGAGTTTTGAGACTGAGCTGCGTACGTTAGGCGTACCTGGTGGTACGTTGCGCATACGTGGTCAACACCCCGCTTTTGGTCAACATCAGAGTACGTTGGGCATACTCCGCTGGGAGGAAATATTGACTTTTGGACCTTGATCGTTGATTTTGACTTTGAGCAGGGTTGACCAAGTTTAACTTAAGGGTATTTTGGGTATTTTGAGTTATAGTTAAGCCTTGGTCTCTTTCTGTAGAATAGGTGACCTGTAGAGCCGGTATTTGGAACAGTGTATTGTTCAACTATTCGTCAGACTGTGAGGTGAGTTTCCTCACTGTTCTTGTGGGTTGAAGATACCAATGCTGACCCCTTTATTTATGTATTCTGGTATATAGGATGTTGCTATACGGTAGTGATTTGTAGATCTGTCTGCTAATCTGTTAACTAGGTATATGACTATTTGTTATTGGATATATATTATCTGTTATGTATATGTTGACATGGTATGGTGGGGTTGAGACTGTACTGATTTGTGCTATCAGTCAATAGGCTGGGGCATTCCAACTGAAAAGGTTGTGAGCCAGGACATTCCAACAAAAAGGTAGTGGGCCAGGGGTAATCTAACCAGGAGGTTGTGGACCTATTATGTATGGGGCAAACCAACCGAAAGGTTGTGGGCTAGGGCATTCCCACTGAAAGGTTGTGGGTCTAGGGTAATCCAACTAGGAGGTTGTGGACGCGTTATATATGGGGCAAGCCAATCGAAAGGTTGTGGGTCGGGGCATTCCAACCAAAAGGTTGTGGGATGGGGGTAATCCAACTAGGAGGTTGTGAGCCCGTTAATTGTTTGATTATATGTTTTTGTGGTGATACTTTGGGGAAACTAATTAAGGTTTGACTTACAGTTTTAGTTTATGGTTTCAGACACTTCAGAGGACCGTGGGAAAGCAAAGGCGTGATCATGCACAACTTTCTGTTTTTATGGCTTTGGGTCTTGGGAAAAATCTGATTTTGAAATAATGTTTTTGGAAACAATGACTCTTTTGTAAACAATGATGTTAAATGGTTGATTTTGAAAATTTTAAATTTCTTTAATTTTTGAGATGTTACAACTTATAAATGATTTCTTTAAGTTTTTCTCACGACATCTTATGTGAGACAATCATTAATGATGTCTTTGAGGTTTTTGATGCTTATGTCTATCACAATCTCGATTACTTGGTTGCTTAGGTCATGTGTTCTGAACGTCATAACTTCTTCATATGATCTTAAATTTTAACGATCTTTATATCCATGTGTTCGTATTTTAGTCTACTACAACTTTCGTTTAGATTACTTCCGTTAAAAAGTAATATATTTTTACTTATGATATTCATATCAATTCTTTTTTATGAATGCATGTATGAATGTTTTTTTTTATATATTTTTTATTTTATAAAATTGTAAGTAAAAATATATTAAATCTTAACGGGAGTAATCTTAACGAAATTATAGTAGACTCAAAAAACGAACACGTGAATATAAAGATCGTTAGAATCTGATATCGTATGAAGAAGTTACGAAGTTCATAACACAAGATCCAAACCAAACAACAAGACCTACACAATCAACTAGTCGAGATCGCGATAGACATGAACATCAACATCCCCAAACACCTCATCAATGATTGTTTCATATAAGATGCCTTGAGAAAAATCTAAAAAAAATCATTCATAAGTAATGAATTGGTACAAAAACAAAAATGATTTATTTTGAAACGAAAAAATATTAATTACTAAACGTGTACAAAAATATTAAGGACTAAATGTATACAAAATAAGAAATATATAACCTATTAAATTATTTTTCTTGGTTAATCTGAAATAACCGTTCATAAAAACTGAATGTATACAATTTAAAAAGTTGAAGATGTATATAGATGAAAAAAAACTTAGTAAACAAATGTACACAAATCAAAGAATAAATTCATCCTTTTAAGTCATTATCCTAAATATAATTAACTTTTTTCAACATCACCATATCACACAAAGAAAAGACGACACATCACTACTACGAGCTGAAAGCTAAATTGTATATTGATTTCAAATTTGAATGTTCAAAACAAGTGATTTGTTTTAAAATTAGAAGTTAAAAAAAATTATAGATATAAATAAATTTAAATATAAAGATATTGATATAGATATAAATATATAGATAATCTTAATATATATTTTTTTGTAACAACTATTTGAAAATATTGGGAAACAAAGTTGCGAGGATCATGTGAAGTGCTATCGAATTCGAAGGTCCGGTAATCGCAACAGCACTTTCACTCCCGTATATATCTCCGGCTCCAAAACAATGGGCGACCCACCCTCACCCCTTCTCTCTGTCAACCCAGAGACCTTTATCCGCCATTGGTCATCGATCGAGGTACTAACACCATCGACGTTTCATCTTTTTTACAGCCCCCGATTCATCCATTTCAATACTCTTTCGTATATCATTCAATCATTCGTAAAATTGACCAACATAAAACAATTCTGACAATCCCCTTTTCATAAATTCCTAAGACCCTCTCATCCAATCATTTATATTATAACCAGAGGAGGGGTTCTTGCTCTTTAGATTTTCTTTTGGTTCACAAAACCCAGTAGGTTTATAGATTATAAACGCATGTTATGTTATAGCTCTTGACCTATGATACGTGATTTATATCTCCACTTTTGGTTTTGTTTATGTTGATTCGTATATTATGTTTTCTTGACGTAGTTTATTGAGCTTTGAAACCGCATATACGGAAGAATCATGCTGGGTTCGAATCATACTTCCCAAGGTTTAAACATTATCGCCGATTATCCTGGTTTAAGTACCGAAATCCGATGGTTGATATCGGCTTTTGGAGGCATCATCATGTGTAAACTTGTAAGTATTGGTTGCTGATTTTGTCTTCTTTTACATATTTGAAGTGAATATGTGTTTTGATTGACTGATTTTATAAATAATAACTTGATTGTTGTATATATAGTATTTAACTTCTAAGTTCGATTGTGAGTAAAGTAGTTCATACATAATACATGATACATACATTAATGGGGTGTTTGGACTTGTGTCTTCAAAGCGATTATTAAAAGTCTAATTCAAATTAGATAATCATGATAATCAGTTGATAAAAGCCAGGACTAGTTTAGATAATCAGCAATCGGTAAAATATTTGATCCTATATAATCAGAAAATCAAAACGATAATCAGTTGTTGTCAATTTAACAACAAAAACATTATCATGGGTTCAAGCGGCAATGGTATATGAAAAAGGAAATAACGAACAAGGTGCATCCATAATTGATACAGAACACCAAAGAAATATATGTTTTTTTCAGTTTTATTTTCATCAATCAGTTTCATAGTTAATTCATAAAGAGCAGTTAAATTCTTTGTTTGTATTCGTTTCTGCTTTATGTGCTTGTCTTTTCTTGAAGGTAGATGCCAATACATTTGTCATCTTCTTGTTATATTTGGAAAGGGACTAATACAATCACATTTCTTCTTTTTGAAGGCTTATGAATTTACCGGAATATTTACACCCTTTGTCTTCAGAGGTTTTATCAAGCTCAACAACGCACAAAAACTTGAATGGAAAAACCGGTTATTTCCCTTTATCTTTGTAGTCATCGTTCTTTATATTGGTTATATGCAATTAATAGCAACGTACATCCATTCATTTGTTTATTATAGCATCGTACTTTTGTTTCTTCCTACTATAGAATGTTATAATACACAAACACATGGAAGTACATTGCTGTTTCTTGCATTTAGCCTTATTTATTTATTTTCAAATTTTATATTTTTCTTACAATTCTCTTAGTTAATGTGGTATTAGCTTTCGTTTTCCAGGGGTTTCTCAACCTTCCATGCACTTTTTGTGGCCATTGGTTCTGTTTACCTTTTACTTGTTTCAGATCTTTTTAATGAGGAGTTCTTCATCAAGAGAAGGTCTACCTTATCAGACACCATACTCGGTGTATGTCCGATTTTCACATTATTTATTTAACTCAAAACCGTTAAATTATTTCTCTCAAACCAATTAATCCATGTGCTTTTGCAGATGTCTTGCGGTTATTTTTTGTCAGACGTGGCCATGATTATTTGGGCATATCCAACTTTAGGTGGTCTTGAATATGTAAGTAACTCTTGTTCACTTGATTACAGCTAGGGACAGTTTCGTAATTTTACATTTACCTCTCTTCTCTTAGGTGTTGCACCATGGGCTCTCATTGTATTCAATCATGCAATCTGTTTTAACGGGTGAAGCCGAGTTTTACATCTTCATGGTTCTTTTCACAGAAATTACAACGCCCTTTGTGAACTTAAGATGGTAACCAAAGTGTATGGATATACTTACAATTTTCCTTTTTCTTTTTTGCTTTCATATTCCAGAAAAAAACTCATATTCACCACACAAATGCAGGCATCTTGATGTTGCGGGCATGAAGTCTTCAAAGCTTTACTTGTGGAACGGTATTGCAATGTTCGTAGGGTGGTTGGTACGTGTATAATACAACCAAAAAAAATCATCAATTTGTGTCGTTTTTACAGTAAAATGTTGATACGAAAGCTTCCGATTCTTGCAGGTTGCAAGAATCGTGTTGTTTGTCTTCTTTTTCTACCACATCTACAACCACATTGATCAGGTAAATGATCTAACTGTGTGTAAAACTTTGTTAATTTGACAAGAATCGTGTTGTGTTTGGCTTCTTTTGCCCTAGAAATTCGGGATCAGTTTTGGGAAATTGTTGTTGAGAAATGATATTGGAGTCGGTTTTGCAGGTGAGGCAAATTAAAAACGCGGCGTTTTACAGCTTGCATACGATCCCACCGGTGTTGGCTGTGATGAATTTGTTCTGGTTCTTTAAAATTGCGAAAGGGATGATAAGAACTCTCAGGAAGAAGAAGACTCAATAGTCCCATAGTTACACCAGCTAAAAAGAAAGGGTAATTATGTAATTAGACATCTTGTGAATTCAAATCCTGTACAGTTCTATTTGTGTTATCGGTGCATTATAAATGTTGCAATGTTTATTTAAAAAAAAAAAAAAAAAAAAACATATATAATTTTTTGTTTTGAATCAAAGGTATAAAAAACATGTTTATGTGATGGTGGGTTTTATATTACGTTTGAAACATATATTCTTTAAATTATATAGAAAAAAACATGTCCATATGAGGGTAACTAGTGTTTCAAAACAGGAGCTGTACATAAACATCAAAATTCCGGGTTTCTTGGTTTAATCGGTTACGTCTGGACATCTTTGTAACTAAAATCCAAACTTGTAATTTGGATATTAGTTGATTTGGGTGAGATGTGTCCCTCATCCATAAGTTGAGTGTTTAATTATTGTTTGAGACAAAATAATTAGTTTATAAGTAGAAATAGAGTGTGTGTCATTTAAAAAAAAGTATTATAACAAGGTCTTTAAAATAAGAAGAAAATAATAAATAAGTAATTTTGGTTGTTCCTAAGTAATTAAATTATTTTGTAACTTGTATGGTTTTGATTATCTAAAACAAATTATCTGAATCCATTATAACAATATAACCATCATCACTTTATTTATATACCAATTGAAATATCAATTGTTTAAGTGATTGACAAATTATAAATATTTTAAAATACTATTAGAAACGATAAAATTAAGTTCCTAGTATATATTTGTTTATTAAAGCATTTGAAACAAGCATGTTAAAGGATTTGTAGTTTAAAATCCTTATATTCCTTCTTTTAATAGAATCACTAACAATAAAGAATATGGATGGGAAATCCGAAATCTTTAAAATATGGGGGTCAATATTTGTCTTTTTTACATACTCGGTTTTCGGGTGCCTTTCCAAAAAAAATCTCGGTTATATTATAATCAAATAAATCAAATATATTAGGATTATAAAATGATGAGATAAATTGCCTCCTACCTTTTACTCCTACAATTATTCCTACCCACTAAAATTATAACAAATCACCATTCAATTTAATTGTATTTGATATATTCCTAATATAGTCTTAATCATTTAGTTTAAAAAATATGGAAAGATGACACTTGTCATAATTTTATTGAGTAGGCATATTTGTAGGCATAAAAAGTAGGAATCAATTTAATTTCTCTAAAATGATTTACTTAAGCATTAAATAGTATTAAATAGGGAATAGTAACAACAATTTCCTGTTTAGGTCATAATATTTAGATAATCCAGCCGACTCAACTCGCAATATGATGCGGGAACCCGTGTAAACGGTCAAAACGGGAATTCTCACCCGTTCTTCTCTCGCACCCGCTGATACACACACGCTTTCTCTCTCTAAAATTGGCATGGATTCCAATGGCTTATCATTCTTCACTTCTTACCACTGCCATGGCTAAGCTCTTGTCGATTTAAAAGCCATTATAAGACGAGATCGGAATTGCAAGAAAAAATGTGGAGGTCGTCGTTTTCGCTATTGAAGCAGGGGGTGACGTCGGCGGTTGTTAGATCAAAGCCGGTGTCGTTCGGACGGAGAAAAACCGGTTTCGTTGAAGCCAATAACAAGTTATGTTCTTGTTTGTTCTCAACTTCGGCCGGCGGCGGCGGCGGGGTAGGGTTAGGGCAAGGTGAAAAGGGTAATAATGACAATAATGATAGTATAACGTTTGCAGAGGCGAAGAAGCTAATGAGATTGGTGAATGTTGAGTCCTTGAAGATGAAATTGACTACCGAAGGCAAGGAGACGATTTGTTATTCGGAGCTTTTGGAGGCGTGTGAGAGTATGGGCGTCACGAAATCCAACGAGGAAGCGAAGGCGTTCGTTAAAGTTCTTGATGAGGCGGGTGTTGTTCTTATTTTCAGAGATAAAGTTTATCTCCATCCAGACAAGGTATAATCTAACATCCTTCTCTTCATATCTCTACATTTGTGTTGTCCGATTTTTTTACCTGATTCTTTGCTTCAAGTAGAAGATAAGTGTTGCAACCTTTTGGGGCATTAAAATTAGATCTATAATCTGTGAAGTGGTTATGGGATTGGTGATTAATGGCGTAGTTCTTTGTTTTCATTTGAGAAACAATAGCTGTACATGATTATTATTATATCACGATTGATCCTAATTAGATACTTAGATGCTTAAAGATAGAGACAGATAGCAACCCAGATAGCTAATTAGATAACATGATATTTTACTTTCATTACCAATACAGACAATGCACTTAATTTTTTACTAATAATAGCAACATACTTGCATTTCATTATCGCAATCTGAAATTTATACTTGTACCATTTTTGAAGGAAAGTCTGAAGCATCTTTTGATCCTATCTAAAATTTATCTCAAAAGCCAATGATTACTTTTGTGATACTTGATTCAAAGTGCAGAAAACACATGGGTCTCTTTAGACATTATACCTGTACCATTTTTAAAGTGAAGCAACACCCTTAGTGTCGGACTGCAACATGATTAACTGTTTTGTCAGGTGGTGGATCTGGTAAGAAGGGCGGTGCCGCTAGCGCTGACACCAGAAGACGACCCACGGAGGGAGGAGCTAAGAATCCTACAAGCAAAACAGGACGAAATCGACATGTTAGCTCATAAACAGGTGCGCCGGATCCTATGGATGGGCCTTGGGCTTTCATTGGCCCAAATCAGCCTCTTTTTCCGTCTGACATTTTGGGACCTTTCATGGGACGTTATGGAGCCAATCGCGTTTTTTACAACTGCATCTGGTCTAATCATCGGTTACGCCTACTTTCTGTTTACCTTGCGGGACCCGACTTACCAAGACCTGCTGAAAAGGCTCTTCCTTTCGCGTAGAAGAAAGCTTATGAAAAAGCATAACTTTGATATGGTTAGATTCATGGAATTACAGAAGAAATGCAAGTCGCCTTTAGATTCACATCCTGCAGCCAAACATGAGATAGCAGGGGTGGAACTTGAAACACGGGATCTCTTACATAGACATTGACACAAAATAAAAACTCCTACATATCATATGTTGCTTCTATGTTGGCGTTGGTGCCCCTTTTTGACATTAACATAGAAGCTTTGACTTTTTTTAGTTGACTCATGATCTTGTCTTGGTCAGGAAAAGCTTATAAACGGTGTAATTTTGTTTTTCTTTGAGAATATAGGAGAAGAGAATCAAAAGGGTATATTAATGGAAATTTCAGATATTAACTAAATACTTGGTTGAAATGTCTATTTGCTTGTTGGTGATCAAGCTAGAAATGATCACAATAAAAACTACACAGGTCTGGAACAGAGGCGAGAATGCACACATAAAATTTTCTGAATTCTTCTTTATTTGACACACTCCAAACAAACTACAAACTGATTGCAATTTATAGACTCTTATCACATTAAAACCTGAATTAAAAGTGCTTTTAAAACTACCAAACTATAACTGAAAACTTTAACTTCCAGGTTAACCACAATGTGGTAACCGATTATTCTCTTTATTGCATTAAACTCAAATTCAAATCAGAATTAACTCCAATACTCTCCCCCCTAATTCTGAATAGGGTCTTCAAGCTTCTCAACTCCCAGAAGACTTTTCATCTCAGCAAACTTCACTCGGGGTAATGCTTTGGTCAGAGTATCTGCTCGTTGCTCCTCTCCACTTATATGCTCCACACAAATTAATCCATTTTCCACACACTCACGGATGAAATGGTATCGAGTCTCAATGTGTTTGCTCCTACCATGGAATACAAGGTTCTTCATGAGTTCTATTGCAGATTTATTGTCTACATATAACTTGATCTTTCTAACCTCCCGGCCGATCAATTCCTTTAAGAGGTTTCTTAACCACAATGCTTGACAAGCCGCTGATGTTGCTGCCATGAATTCTGATTCACAGGAAGACAGAGCCACAGTCCTCTGTTTTTGTGAACTCCATGTGACCAGATTTCCTGAGAGATAAAATGCCATTCCAGTTGTGCCTTTGCCATCATCACGATCCATCCCGTGACTACTATCACTATAACCCACCAAGTTTCCATCTCCTCCTTGTCTATACATAAGACCATGATTAATTGTACCCTTTACATACCTCAAAATGTGTTTTACTGCCTTTAAATGACTTTCTCTAGGTGACTCCATGTATCGACTGACCACCCCAACTGAGTAACTAAGATCTGGCCTTGTGTGTATCAAATAACGCAAGCTCCCAATAAGACTTCGAAATTTAGTAGCATCTACTGTGGCTTCATCTTCACTCTTGGTCAAGCTAAGTTTTGGTTCCATTGGATATTTTGCCTCATTGCAATCTGCCATACCTGCTGCTGTTAGCAATTTCTTTGCATATCCCATTTGACTGATTGCTATACCCTTTTTACTTTGTTTCACCTCAATTCCAAGGTAGTAGGTTAGCAGTCCCAAATCACTCATATCGAATACTTTCTTCATTTGGTTCTTGAAATCAGCTATCTTTTCTTCACAACTACCTGTCACAATCAAGTCATGTACATATACACCAACTATTAGCACCGCTTCTGCGTTTTGAAGTCGGTACACGGCCTGTTCTTGGGGGCACCTGTGAAAACCCATATCCTTGAGTGTTTTGTCGAGCTTAACGTTCCACGCTCTTGGAGCCTATCGTAGCCCATAGAGAGCTTTATTTAATCGGTAAACCTGATGTTCCTTGCCTGCAATAACAAACCCGTCCGGCTGTGAAACATATACCTCTTATTTTAACTCTCCGTTTAGGAAAGCGGATTTCACATCAAGATGGTGAACTTTCCAGCCTCCCATTGCTGCAAGAGCTAGGAGTACTCGAATTGTCTCCAATCGTGCAACAGGCGCAAACACTTCATCAAAATCAACCCTCTTTCGTTGTACATACCCCTTCGCGACCAACCGCGCTTTGTGTTTTATTACGTTTCCTTCTGGATCCTTTTTTAATTTAAATACCCACTTCAGTCCAATGGGTCTATGTCCACGTGGCAAATCTGTCAGATTCCACGTTTTATTTTTTTCAAGTGAGCCAAGTTCAGTTTTCATTGCTTCTAACCAGTCTTGATCCCGTGTTGCTTCCAGATAGGTGGAGGGTTCTTCACCAACAAACATTAGGTCTACTTCTTCATC